TGGATTATGAAATCACATGACCGTGAGTGATAGACGACTTGGTAGAGAGTTTCATCTAGCAGTGGAGAGGTCATGGCTGCTGCTGCTGCTGATGATGATAGAATAGAATGAATGGATCCCATCACGTTTATTTATTCCTCTTTTTTTAAGGGTTTGACTGCTACCCCACATCTACTTCCCGAAACTGTACTTGGCAAGTGTTGCTTGTTTACTTGCTAGAACAATAGTCACCCCATATCTGTTTAATGTTTCTGTCACTTAACTTTGGAATTGTATTACGATCGGTCTAAAAAAAAAAGTATCTGCCCGAGCCAACTTTACGCGACAGGGAGTTCGCTACTTAACGTTGATTCGTGTTTGTGCAATAATTTCGGTGATTTTTGTTAAGATTTCTCCTTGCTGCAGTGCTGTATTATATTTTAATTGCCTTTTGCTTCTGTCAATTTTGGTCTTCTACTTTTTCTCGCCGAGTTCATGAATGAACCTAGAAACTCAATTTCCCTGGACAAGAATACGGGGGGAAAACCGTATGGGTTGACAGGGATGGTATAGTAGTGCAGTGTATAGTGTAGTGTATAGTGTAGTGTATAGTGTAGTGTAGAGTAGTGTATAGTAGTGTATAGTAGTGTAGTGTATAGTAGTGCAGTGTATAGTGTAGTGTATAGTGTAGTGTAGAGTAGTGTATAGTGTAGTGTAGAGTAGTGTATAGTGTATAGTAGTGGAGTGTATAGTAGTGTAGTGTATGAGACCTATACTTGCAGCTGTTGTGGCAGGACCTGCTTGTCCCGCATAGGCCTCTTCAGCCACCAGCGTGCCTGCAGAAGACGTGGATGTCCTTCCTAGATCTTCGTTCGCGAAGCCAAGCCATGATGATGATGATGATAGTGTATGGCATAGTAGTGCAGTATATAGTGTAGTGTATAGTGTAGTGTATAGTAGTGTATAGTAGTGTGGTGTATAGCATACCTGTCAACCCCTTATCAGTGCCGACCTTAGGGGCCGTCCATAAATGACGTCACGCACTTAGGGTGGGGGGTCAGACATTTGTGACGATGTGTGACAATGGGGAGGGGTTTGAGAAATGTGACGTCACATCAAAATGCGCAACTTTAAATAAATATAGACAACACGTTCTATTTCATTAAATAGACTTTTTAATAAATATTTCTCCTACATCAGAGTGCAGCGCCACATTAAATACGCACTACAATGACAATAGTTTAAAGCGATTTTAAGCATGTTTTATTTTTTGGGGGGTGGGGCAGAGCTTTGTGACGTCATATTTGAGGGGGGGGTTTGACTTTTTGTGACGCCTGGTGACTAGGGGGGGGGGGGTAAAAAATCGTCCAAAATCGCGTGACGTCATTTATGGACGGCCCCAAAGTCCAATCCCAAGCGAGAAACACACTTATTTTTGCCAGAATTGAAACGGCCGTACGCCGTATGGACATAAAAACTACATTTCCCCGTACATGACCACGAGGTAAACCGTATGGGTTGACAGCTATTGTTTGTATCAAGGCTGTAATTATAATATATATCGGGGGTGATCCCCCCCCCCAATATTCAAATATGTTAAAATGTCCCCCCCCCCCAATATATTGCTATAAACAATTTTTTTTTTATCTATGCTATGTAAATAAAAACAAAAAATTGCTAAACCTTGGCCACAATATCTGGACTTGTCTTCATATAACAATGCATAGGTTTCTGTTCATATGATTCTGGTTATGGTTGCACTTATTCTGTCCCACCTGATGACGGAGACTTGTGTTGCCTCCGAAACGTCGTGATCTTTATTTTATTTTATAATTTTTATTAATTTTGATGTTTTACCTACGTGACTTTACCGAAAACACGTAAGAATATGATTCCTTGCAGTCACGAAAGCTTCAAGTCTAGAATTTAATGGTTGCACTTTATCAATCCCTAATCTCTGTCCTTACATACAATGAAACAAGAAAAGCTAAAAAAAAAGAAAAAAAACAGAGCAATGTAATACAATACATTATTTGACATTATTGTAAAAAAAAAAATGTCCATCCCATGTGTTAGTGAAATTTGTAAATATTTTAGGCAAGAAATTGCAGGATTTTTTTTCAAATTTAGATTTTTTTTTTCCTCTGGAGGGTGGAGGCCCTAGACCCCCTTGAAGATTTGGTCCCCCCAATGTTGACCCCATGGCTACGGCTTTGGTTTGTAAAACAGTGCTAACTCTAATAAAATAAAAGACTCAAAGTCGTCTCGACCACAACAACGTTTTGTCAAACGTCGTGGGAATCGATCCCAATGACCGATTCGTCGGAATCGTTAGAATCGGCGGAATCGATGTAATTCATCTTCGATTCCATAATCGTCGGAATCGATTTTCACGCCGCCATCGCGCGCCTTGTTTATGTCACGTGCGCGCGCGCGTGCCCCGCCCCGCCCCCCACTCTCTCTTGCCCCCCTACGGGAGCTCGCGCGGGACCAAATCCGTCCTTTGCGGGGGCCAAAGTGAAAGGGCGGCGGTTGGCGGTGCGGGAAAACGCGATTTTAAAATAGTTGCCCGCACGCTCTAACCCCCCCTGTTGTGTTTACGTTGTACCAAAGCAGTGGATGCAAGAGACATGAACTCGTGCAAAGTTATCAACGGGGGGCAAATGATAATTCGCACGCGGACCGCCGAGTAAGGTTAAAATGGGCGCTTATTTATTAATAAAGTAAAAACTTTTTGTTTTTAACCACGAGCAATGCGGCGTTGAATCGGCGAGTTCGCGAAACGACCGCCTGGGTTTGCTCACCGAGGCTCCCCCATGTGTTTGGTGGGAATGGGAGAGGGGGCGGGGTCTCCATGAATCGATTGATCGATTCCCGTGCCATGGAGTCGAATCGTTGAATCAGAATATTTATTTACATTGGAGATATCTTCTTGGTTCTTTCGGTAAAGTCACGTAGAAGGGAAGTAATAAAATAATAAAAATAAAACATAATAAATTAATATATTATATTATTTTATATTATTATATTATTTTATTAAAACATAATAAAATAAAATAATACATTATATTATTATATAATTTTTTTATTATTTTATTACTTCCCTTCTACGTGACTTTACCGAAAGAACCAAGAAGATGAATCCCTGCAGTCACGAAAGCTTTAAATCGAAAAATACATTGGAGATGTTAACTACCTCGCCTGGTGTACAGGAGATCGTGGGTTCGATCCTGACTCTGTCGCCTGCTGCTGTATATTCAGAGTTAGTGATGTCTCTTTTCTCGGGATCCTCCGGGTTTTCTTCCCTCCACATTTAGAATGAACGTTTGTGTACATAATTTGGCTGCTGTTAGAAATTTCAGCCTGATTATGATAACTATACTCTTAGTTCTTTCGGTAAAGTCACATAAGTAAACAATAAAAAATTAACCCGTAAAAACAAAGTTTTTCACTATAAATCCTTTATATGCGTGGCGGCTCGAGTCCTCTCGTCCTCTGGCTTGAGATGGCTGCCACCTATGGGTCAGATGATTGTCTGCCAGCATTAAGCAATTGGTAATTAAATATTAAAAAAAAAATTCCCTAAACAGTGTAAAATTTTGGAAAAAAAATTTCACGAAAATTAATTGTCACGCACAACGAGTCTGTGTGCAAAATGTCAGCTCGATTGGATCACGGGAAGTGGGTTAAAAAACGACCGAAAGATTTGCACGGTCGTAAGCAAGCAAGCTCGCAAGCACGCAAGTGAACTTAATATAAAGGATTTAAAAATCACGACGTTTCGGAGGCAACACAAGCTTCCGTCCTCAGGTGAAACCGTCACAGCAAAATATATATGACGGTTTCACCTGAGGATGGAAGCTTGTGTTGCCTCCGAAACGTCGTGATTTTTATTGTTTTATTTTTATTAATTTTTATTTCATTTTTTTTTACCTACATGGTGACTTTACCGAAAGAACTAAGAGTATGAATCCTTGCAGTCACGAAAGCTTCAAATCTAGAACTGATTATGATAAGCCATACTTTTTGGTTCTTTCGGTAAAGTCACGGAGGTATAAAATAAAACACCCATGTGACTTTACCGAGAGAACCAAAGAGTATGGATTCCTGCAGTCACGAAAGCTTCAAATAAAAATATGATAAGCCACTTCATCGGGTTATCGTTTGTGATTGCCATGTCGCTTCTAAAAAAAAGCTATACAGCAACTCGGTGGGAATTCACCTGCTAAAATGAAAAAAAATAAACACATTTCCTGCGGAGGGAGCTGGTGGGAACGTTGGGTTGCTCGGTCAATGGCCTGCAGGGTCAACGGCGGCGTGGTGTATTCCGCAAATATGCCCGACTGTGAGGGCGGGCACAAGCCGGCGTGAGTAGGTTAAACGTTGAGTTTTATAAGGGCACCACGGGGTGACCAGCCCCTCCCCATCCAGCCCCACCCCTCCCAGCCCCACCCTCCCCACCCAGCCCCTCCCCACCCAGCCCCACCCAGCCCCTCCCTACCCTCCCCTCCCCACACAGCCCCTCCCCACCCATCCCCCACCCAGCCCCACCCTCTCCACCCAGCCCCTCCCAACCCTCCCCTCCCCACCCAGCCCCACCGCTCCCACCCCCCACCCAGCCCCACCCTCTCCACCCAGCCCCTCCCTCCCCACCCTCCCCACCCAGCCCCTCCCCACCCAGCCCCTCCCCACCCAGCCCCACCACTCCCACCCCTCACCCAGCCCCTCCTCTCCCACCCCCACCCTCCCCACACAGCCCCTCCCCACCCAGCCCCTCCCCACCCAGCCCCTCCCTGCACGACGGACGGACGGATACAATAATCCCCTGTGGGCTGGTGGAACCAGTGGGTTCCTACCAGTATTAAATACGCATCTAAATACATCGACCAACGCGTGCGAATCGCGTCCGTCAGAATCGACGCGCGATCTCCGTCGTGGGAATCGATTCCCTCCGAGGCGCGGCTTTTTAACGAATCTGCGCCGCGCGCGATGTGGAGCCGCGTCCTCCTTGGAGAGGAGGAGGAGGTTGGTGGTGGTGGGATAGTAGTAGCAGCAGCAGCAGCAGCGTGCACCCTCTTCGCCTTCTATACAACAACAACAATAACAACAACAACAAGAACAACAACACGAACTCGACGACGACGCGGATGGAGAGTAACTGGGAACTCGGGCATCAGCAGCAGCAGCAGTCGAGCTGCGAACTGTGCGGCGCCATGGAGAACTTGCTGCGTTGCGGGAGGTGCAAGAGCTCCTTCTACTGCTCCCGTGAGCACCAAGTCTCGCATTGGAAGTCGCACCGACGCCGATGCCGACTGCCGCCCGACCCGACGCCCACCTCGGCGGGCAGACTGCCCGGGCCCGTAACGGCGGCGGCAGCGGCGGCATCACCGTCGGACTCTGCAGTATCGTCGGTATCGGCCATAGCCGCCTCCTCGGCTGTGTCAACCACAGCCGCTGCTGCTGCTGTTGTTGTTGCTGCTGCTGCTGTTGTTGTTGATGTGTTACCATCGACTACAGCTACTACTACTGCTGCTGTATTAGCTACAGCTGCTGCTGTGTCAGCCCCGGTTGTGTCGGCCACGCCGCGGCTGAACGGCAGGCTCAAGCAAGACGACGACGATGATGAAGACGATGAAGACGACGATGATGATGTTGGTGATGATGATGATGACGACGTTGCGGTGGCGGTGGTGGCGGACAAAGTGAGCAGGACTGATGAGGTGGAGGCCAGGGGACGCGGCAGGGGCAAGACGAGGAGGAAAGGAGGTGGAGGAAGAGGTGCTGCTGGTGGTGGTGGTGGTGGTAGTGCTGGTGGTGGTAGTAGTGCTGGTGGTGCTGCTACTGGTGGTGGTGGAGGAAGAGGTGGAGGTGCTGCTGGTGGTGGTGGTGGTAGTGCTGGTGGTGCTGCTACTGGTGGTGGTGGAGGAAGAGGTGGAGGTGCTGCTGGTGGTGGTGGTGGTAATGCTGGTGGTGCTGCTACTGGTGGTGGTGGAGGAAGAGGTGGAGGTGCTGCTGGTGGTGGTGGTGGTAGTGCTGGTGGTGCTGCTACTGGTGGTGGTGGAGGAAGAGGTGGAGGTGCTGGTGGTGTTGGTGCTGTTGGTAGTGCTGGTGGAGCTGCTACCGGTGGTGGTGGAGGAAGAGGTGGAGGTGCTGGTGGTGGTGCTGTTGGGAGTGCTGGTGGTGCTGCTATTGGTGGTGGTGGAGGAAGAGGTGGAGGTGCTGGTGGAGGTGGTGCTGGTGGGAGTGCTGGTGGTGCTGCTACTGGTGGTGGTGGAGGAAGAGGTGGTGGTGGTAGTGGTGGTGGTGTTGGTGGTGGAGGTGCTGCTGGTGGTGGAGGTAGTGCTGGTGGTGCTGCTACCGGTGGTGGTGGAGGAAGAGGTGGAGGTGCTGGTGGAGGTGGTGCTGGTGGTGGAGGAGGAGGAGGAGCGAAAGGAGACGATCTGACGCAGACTGGACGGCATCAGTCGCACGGCGGCCAGCACGCAGAGACGCAGGTGGTGGTGGTGAGGATTTATATCTCTTGATGTGTAAACGATGAATTATGTTGGTGTGTGTACGTGTGTGTATGTGTTTGTGTGGACGTTGCCTCAACCGGTGGGTGGTTCTTACACCTTGGCGATCGGTGGGGCCGTTCGGGTGATGTCGGTCGGCTCTGAGCGCGATGTTGTTTTTTTCGGTAAAGTCACGTAGGTAAAAATAAATAATAAAAAGTATATAAATAAAATATATTTTTATTTTATTATAATATTGTATAATTTTTATTGTATTATTATATTATCATTTCTATTTTTATTATTATTTTTGCCCACGTGACTTTACCGAAAAAAATATTGTGAATCCTTGCAGTCACGAAAGCTTCAAATCACAATCGCCGTGTCTGTGTGTGTTGCGTGTCTGTGTGTTGCGGTGTCTGTGTGTGTTGCGGTGTATGTGTGTGTTGCCGTGTCTGTGTGTGTTGCGGTGTATGTGTGTGTTGCGTGTCTGTGTGCGTTGCCGTGTCTGTGTGCGTTGCCGTGTCTGTGTGCGTTGCCGTGTCTGTGTGCGCTGCCGTGTCTGTGTTTGTTGCCGTGTCTGTGTGCGCTGCCGTGTCTGTGTGCGTTGCCGTGTCTGTGTGCGCTGCCGTGTCTGTGTTTGTTGCCGTGTCTGTGTGCGCTGCCGTGTCTGTGTGCGTTGCCGTGTCTGTGTGCGTTGCCGTGTCTGTGTGTGTTGCCGTGTCTCGGTGTGTTATCTCAGAGTTGTCCTTGTTCCCAGATCGCTCCGATCGGTGTACAGGGATGACACCTATGCATCTTGCTATTGAAATTGACCCTCGGCTGCTTTTGAAGATAAGATTCGTGTTAGTCTTCGCGTGGCTACTGAGCGCAAGGGTGTGAAGTGGTGAACTGTTTTGCCCAGAAAGTCACCTTTTTAGAGATAGTAGAGGTTTGCTGAAGACGATCACAGCTTCAAGATTACTTCTTCTTGGTTATTCTTTGGTTCTTTCTTAGTTTTCTAGTTAGATTTTTGTTGCTATTTCTTTTATGCCTGATGATGATTGCTTGTGTTGCAATCGAAACGTCGTAATATGCTATTATTTTAATCTATTATTTTATCTTTAGACGTGACTTAACCGAAAGAACCAAAGAATAATTCCTGCAGTCACGAAAGCTCCAAAATTAAGATTCTTCTTGGTTCTTTCGGTAAAGTCACGTAGAAGGGAAATAATAGAATAAAAATAAAACATAATAAAATACAATTTTCTGTTGATATGCAAATGTATTTGTCAAGGCACCCTTCCTCCTCTAACCCGGCTTAAATATACGCTGCCAAGCTTGGTGGTGTTCATTCAGACGCTGTCTTTCTGACAGACCTGTTCTTCACCTGAGGACGGCTGCTTGCGTTGTGGCCGAAACGTCGTGAGAATTGTATTTTATTATGTTTTATTTTTATTATTTCTCTTCTACGTGACTTTACCGAAAGAACCAAGAAGATGAATCCCTGCAGTCACGAAAGCTTTAAATCGAAATTCAAGATTACTCGTATCTGTCCTGTCCCATGGCTCTTTTGTCGCTTGCCAATAGATGTTTTGTTCAACCTCTTTAACCCCGTCTGAATACATCCATTACGTTATATAGCTTCTACATACCATTCAACCTCCTGAGAATTCATCCTGTCACGTCCTTCAATATCTCATATGAGTTACACACCTCTGTTATCTCTTCACTCTATATTGTTACTTTTGAATTTATCTCTTACCTGTTATTGTCTTTCAATATATAGCACGTCTGTGCCCTAGTCGTGTGTCTGTGTGTCACTTCTAAACACAGGACATGTATATATTTATGTCTATCCCTTACGTATAAACAACGTCTCTGGTCATCATCTGGATGCATCTACTATCTATCATCAGTCTTCTGAATACCCGTATGTCTTGTGCATCTCCTATCACGCCTATTTATCGCTTATTAATACAATACATCTCTTCTGTCTCATCTGTTATGACTAAATACATCTGTTATCGCAAATTTATGAATTTCCTGCATGTATTTTATGAATAGAGTTAATCTCTGTCAACTTCTTCCTTTATATTTCGTATATAAACCCTAATTTCCTGTCGCATACGAATACACCTCAAAATATTAAATGTCGCTTAAAATCAGTTGTTGTAACTCTATCCTGTACCTTTTTATATCTACCTTGTCCGATGTTTAACTATTGTCAAATGTTCCAGGAACATGTGTGTTCACTATGTAATACATATTACAATTGTGTGTCTGGTCGGCTTTAGGGTGCAGGTCAGTCTGTGTCCCTGAACTTTTATTTTAACTAGCCTGACTGCTGATAAGACCCAAAGGTCTTGACCGGTTCAGAGTTTGACCTGCTTAATTAAATGCTGCGTGATAATATTGGTGTGGAATAGCCAACGCACTGACAAAAGACAGAAACATTATTACGTGTGGAGTCTCAAAACAGAGCTCTGCTTATTTGTCTTGAGCAGTAACCTTGTCAACATGCAACGTTAAGGCCTATGTTGATATGTGTGGTTGGAATTGTTGGACCCAACATTGCTGGTCCAACGTTCAATGGTTCCTGGGAATGTCCCACAGCATTGCATGATGAGTTCGGTATTTCTTTTTGCATTGCATGGGGCCCCATATATTTATACGGAGTGCTCTTGCCAAAAGTGTCTGGTAATCCAACAGCATTTGTGTAATGGGTCTGCATCTGCTGATGGACCCTGAAGGTCACAACCGATCCAGAATTTTGCATGCTTTAACAAATACTGCTTTATGATACTGGCGTGGAAAGCCAATAATTGCTGTATGGACTAAGACGTATTTTACACGTGGAGACACACCATCGAGTTTTGCTGATGTTTTTACTTTGTCTCTCAATTCAGTCGACATGGACTTGCCCATTGGCAGTATCTCTGGTGTCTTTAGTTTCTGCGTTGTCTTCAGTTTCTGCGGTGTCTGCAGTTAACAAATTTGGTTGTCTTGCCACGCGGCAGTTCAGCCTATCGCATCCATCGCACCACACCGTAGGGGACTCTGCAAGGTTACTTACACAATGTTCTGCTGCCAAATTCGCTTTTGGCAGCACTCGCCCGGCTGACATCGATCCAAGTCGTGGCAGCTTTTGCTGGATGGAGACTTGCTGGTAAATAGATGCACGGTACTGCATTGTAGTTTTTTAATTACTTATATAAACACAAAAGAAAATCACTTTTGCATCTATGCAGAATGTTCCAGTCGTATGTGATTAGCTCTACTTACGGACGAGTTAGGTTTCCGTGATCTATTCGTAAGTCGATTTGTTCGTAAGTCCAACTTTTCTCCTGTCAATTCCAAACATGTTGTACGGCATGTACACTAAAGACAGGGAATGGCTTGAAAATGTGTATGATATTCTTCAGATATAGATGCCACTGGTTCTTAATGTTCTACAGATGTAGATGCCACTGGTTTTCCATGTTCTGCAAATGTGGATGCCACTGATTTTTCGTGTTCTGCAGATGTAGATGCCACTGGTTTTCCATGTTCTGCAAATGTGGATGCCACTGATTTTTCGTGTTCTGCAGATGTAGATGCCACTGGTTTTCCATGTTCTGCAAATGTGGATGCCACTGATTTTTCGTGTTCTGCAGATGTAGATGCCACTGGTTTTTCATGTTCTGCAGATGTAGATGCCACTGGTTCTTTACGTTCTGCAGATGTAGATGCCACTGGTTCTTCACGTTCTGTAGATGTAGATGCCACTGGTTCTTCACCTTCTGCAGATGTAGATGCCACTGATTCTTCACGTTCTGCAGATGTAGATGCCACTGCCGCCATCTATTACGCGGCAGTTGAACTTACGACTCTCGGTCCGAACAGGCAAATGGACATAACGGACCGGTTTGTTTGTATCTCCGAAAGTTCGTGGGTCGAAATATTCATAAGTAGAGGAGTCCCTGTATTGAATTGTGATTATATTCGTTATTGAGATTTTTTTTTATATGCGTTGCACCCATCCATTCTAACTTGTTTCTTCCAGATTGATAATCCCCTTATCTGAAGCATTTTGAGATGCCATTGCGTTTAGCTGCTTACATCATTACTGTCATAAGCCATGGTCAATCCACTGCTGGATGAAGGCTTCCCAATGCTGCTGATGCAACGATCCACCCAGCACTTGTTCTGCACACGAACTAACCTCATCGCTCCTTCTGCCCGGTGGACATCCTCTCGGATGAATTCCATTCCTCGGCTGCCACTCAGCAAGATGTTAACTACCTCGCTTGGTATACAGGAGGTCGTGGGTTTGATCCCATGCCTGACGCCTGTATATTTGGAGTTTGCATTTTCTCCCCGTGATCACGTGGATTTTTTGCCCGGGTTTTTCTCTCCACATTTATAAACGACATGCGTTTGGCTGCTGTAAAATTACACATTTGAAGCCACTTCGTTGAGCTGTCATTTGTGATAGCCAGGTCGCTTCTGAAAAAGAGCTACATAGTGAGTTGCTGCAGCTCCATACTATTAACATTCCTTCCCTTTATTAATGCTAACCCTACTCCCTCCCTTTGATGCTGCTAATCCTGCATAATGCACGGGCATAATATGACTTTGAAACCCCCTGCCCACCTCCTACGCATTCCACAAGTAGTGACTAATCCCATATCTGCATTTCCCATAAATATGCTAAATTCCTCTTGATATGCAAATTATTTTGTCAAGGCGCTCTTCCCCCTCCAACCCAGCTTAAATATACGCTGCTAAGCCTGGTGGTGCTCATTCAGACGCTGTCTTTCCAACAGACCTGTTCTTCACCTGAGGACGGCTGCTTGCGTTGTGGCCGAAACGTTGTGAGAATTATCTTATTATGTTTTATTTTTATTATTTTATTATTTACCTTCTACGTGACTTTACCGAAACAACCAAGAAGAAGAGCTACATAGCTCAGTGGGCCTTACCTGGTAAAATTAAACATTGTTTTATCTTTTTTGTTTATTATTAATGACCATCGGTCCATGATCCTTTCT